CCAGGACTCCAATACCGCTCTGACGACGCAGTAAAACCTGTCGCAGGGGCTGAATTCTGTGCTCTGAGTTTTTACCAAGGAGTCTTCTGTTGTTTGTGTTGGGGGGGGGGGGGGGGTCGATGTATGTGTGTGCGCGCGCACACGCCATGGCGACTAAGGACTGCTGTGAATTAAGTTTTTCCAAAGCAATCTTGTAGTCTCACAAGATGGGGAATATGCAAGCTCTGTAGAAAAATGTCCTGAAACAGACAAGGGAGCACAGAGATGGTGCCATGCTTGGGAGCCCTGAAGGCAAATTCCACACCTTAGAATTTGACTGTGAAGACTCCAGCCTTAAGCTCTTGAAACACATGGTAGTAGATGAAGCATCTCTCATGGTTATTTTAGACCATTTGATCCAGAGAACCTAAAGACAAGGGCCACAGATCACTCCCCACATGACTCACTGGGCTTCCTGGAAATATTTCTTTCCCTCCACCTGCTCCCTGGGTGCCCACAGTGGGGCATCCCCTATGGAGGAGGTCCTCTCACCACACCCAACCCTCCTGTCCCTGGCTCCCAGCCCCAATCACCCTGTTGGGCCTCACAACTTCTCTTTAAATTCAAGGATGCAAAAAAGCTGAAAAATATTATTTTATTTTTGTCAAAGTCGTGTGTGCACATGATAGAAATTGCAGATGAGCTTAGAATAAAAAACAAAGTCTCCACCTGCTCCAAGCCTCTGTCCCAGTCAGCAAGAGCAGGTGACCATGTTCTGATTCTTCTGGTATTTTCCCTCACAACTATCTAGATCATCAGCCTACCTCATGAAAATGGCATTTGCCAATTTCAGACACTATCTTCCCAACCTCTGATATTAAAGACAGCAATTGACGCATCCAGGCATAATCCCACCTCCAACATTTGGTATTTAGATGTTAATACTTCTATAGGTTACCTTTTAACTTGAACTATGGACATTGGGGAAATATATTCCAAATCTAACCCCTTAGCCTGAATTCACATGGATTGTGATAAGGCTTAAGAAAGATAGTAACTTAGTCAAAAATCACTGATGCGCCTGGAAAAAATAAAGAAAATAGAAAGTAGACCGAGCCAGTTTTCTGTCTCCCAAAAGGGATTATTTCTCTGCCATTGGTTTACTGGTTGATGTTTCCACAAAATAAATGCCAGTGTTGGACATTTGAGGTTGATCTCTAAATAATGCTAATTGGGGAAGTGGAAAATTTGGCCGAGTCAATGGAAACTGCAGCCAGAGATCTAAAAAGGACTCTGAATGGGATCAATTCACAGAGAAAGCAGCTGTTGTCCACGCCTGGACAACCATTAAGGAAGGCAAGAAGGACACATTTGTCCGACTGGCCAAGGCTAAAGAGAATGTTTTAAAAGGAGTAGAGGTAAACATTGGCCAAAACTGTCAAAATGAAAAGTACTGAGAACAGCGTGCACGATGCGCATGAAGTGGTCTAAAGCAGCGCAGCCCCAAATACCCTCTATAGGAAGGGCTCGTGGTCACCAGGTGCCATGGTGAAGTAAAATGATGTGGTTGGAATGGCAGGTTTTGAGGGTGTCAGCGAATGAGTACATCTGTAGCTTATGCCTTATTTTATTGTAAAATAAGACTTACTCCCAATAAATACAAAGAAGAATCCAGAGGCTGCTTGGGCAGTGAGGACAGTGAGCCAGACCCTGGGGAAGGCACTGAGCTGAGGAGCTTGGGAGAGCATCGTGTGTCCTGCACAGGGACAGTCAGGGGACTCCTCTTGTCACCACCTTACTTTCAGCATCCCAGACAAGGGCTGGTGGTTTAGCCTGGTCATTGCTGCTGGGCTCTAATTGTTCAAAGGAACGCTTCCAGAAATCCAGGGCTTTGGTTCCAGGGAATCAGGCCCATCTCAGTGAGAAGTTACCAAGACCTTCCTATGAGGCCCACATGGGTGCTTGGTGCCTGCAACAACACAAAGATGGACACCACAGAAGTCCTACCTGCCCCAGAGACAGGTCAACAAGTGCCCAGGACTTAGCTCGGTGAGCTAGAGCTCTCCCAAGGGGAGTCAGGAGAGCTTTAGAAAAGAGTTAACATTTGGCTGGGGCATTGCAGGATGAGCAGGAGCCCCTGGAGTCAGGGGGAGGAGGCATCCCAGAGCCAAGATGGGAGATGTCCAGGCAGAGAGCTGTGACCACCGATGTGGGCTTGCCAGCCGGGCCTGCCAGGCCTGGTTTCACTCAGGCTGCAGCAATGTGTTTACCGACGTCCTTGGGTTGTGACAGTCCAGGGCCCACATGCTCTCCTCCTTACGTGGCTCATGTCTGGGTATGCCAGTCTCTCTCAGTCTGGGGAGGGAGCACAGCCCAGGCCACTAGGGACTCAGCAAGAGTATAGACACACACTTACAGTGGTCAGTGGTGTCCATGTCCCTGTGGTCTCAGGTCTGGGTGTGGTGGGCCCCCATGCTCTCCTTGGCTGCACGGTGAGGACATATCTGGTGCACAGGGCTCTAAACTGGCGGTCCCCAACCCTTTTGGCACCAGGGACCAGTTTCATGGGAGACCATTTTTCCACAGATGGGGGATGGGGATGGGGGAGCCAGAGCTCAGGCGGTGATGCGAGCGATGGGGAGCGGCCATGGCTGTAAATACAGACGAAGCTTTGCTCACTCACCACTCACCTCCTTACTGTGCAACCCCCAGGTTCCGAAATTTCACAAAAGACAAGTTTTCCATTGTCGGGGGTGTGGCGGAGCTCTGCAGCCCAGTCCCCCTAACAGGCCACGGACTGGTATTGGGGGGTTGGGTACCACAGCTCTAAACCATCCCTCATGTAGGAGTGTGTGTGCACATTGCCTTGCAGTGCATAGGGTACCTGCCCTCAGAATGGTGGGGCACCTGACAATTTGCAGGACAGCCCCACGTTTGCTGGCCTCTTGCTTGGCAATTGTGGAAATGTGAGTGATCTCTGTGGACATTGCTGGCCTCTCCCAGGACACTCACGACCTATCTGGGTATGTCAGGATTCTAGTTCTCACAGCACCCCACAGCCTGTTTCCCCCCAAAACCCCACGAGGACATTTCCACAATTGCCGACACCTGCTCCCCACACCGCAGCTGGCACCGTCATTCTCCGGCTGAGAACCGTGTTAGCAGTTTCACTGTACTTAATGCCAGCAGAGAAAAGATGCAACTTCTTTGGGTGGCATTTTGTGGCATATTTGGCTGCTGTCCCTTGAATGACCACACTGAGTTGCTTATTCATTGCAAATAACACCTCCCAACCCACCTTCCCCCCGCCAGGAGGGAGGTGCTGGCTGCTGGAGACGGTGGAATGTGGAAACTCGCCCTGGAAAGGAACGACCACAAAGACACGTGGAGGGTGCTACAGAGGGAGACGCAGCTCCCCTAGAACAGCGGCCAGGGCCTTAGGGGAGAGTGCAGCTGAGCTGAGAGCACACGGGTCAGAGGGTACCTGGCAGCGTGTCCCGAATGTGGGGACACTAGGAGGGTGCAGCCTGGGAGGGGCTTCGGAGTGGCAGCTCCCGGGCAGCCCCAGCCCTGAGGGGCCGCCGAGTTGAGGGTCAGGCTCTCAGGCTCACAACGGCCTCTCTCCTCCCCGGAGGCACGTCCTCGTGACCAATGCTTGGGGTCTAGAAACACCTTTTGTGTACCACCAGGCATGGTGCTCTGAGACTGTCTCCAACCCTGCGTGCTCCCCCAAAGCCATTCTCACCACCCAGCCCACGTCCTTCAAGTTGAGTTATTTCTCACCTGTGGTTTGGTCTCTGTCCATTCCCAGGGCGCAGTGTGAGCCTGGGCTACTCTTCGCCATCCTGGGGAGCTGGGGAGAAACACAAAGTCCCCGGCTCTGCTCACAGCTGCTGGGTTAGAATCTTTGGAAGGGGAGGCCCAGGAACCAGCTTTTTCACAAGCCTTCAGGAGATTCTGGCTCCTTCCGAAGTTTACAAGTAGCTTCAGATAAATGCTGAAGGCATGTTTCAGGGGGATGAAATTTAAGTCTTCTCTGGAAAGTGTCATTCAGTCTTTCCAGAGCCCCATTTGCTGCTAGAGTTGGAGGCCCTGAGGGTCTCTTTCCAGAGCCCAGAATCTCCTGAGCTGTGATGACCATGGCCACTGGAGGGCACCAGCGGCCACCCAGTGGAAACTCCATGGCCATCACCAGTGGCAGGGGTTAGTGGGGAGGCCCTTCTCAGTCTCTGGCTCTTCCTCTTGACTCTCAGTACTCTAATTGCAAGTGCCTATCCCTCCTCTAAACACCTTTGGCAGGGCATCTCCATAACTGGGCAGGTCCCCAGGCCAAGCCCAGGGCAGCACATCCCTGGGCTGGGAAGCTGCACCACAGGAGGGGCAGAGCTGGGCTGGGGCTCCTGCTCCCCAGTTTCCTCAACCCCTACCCCCACCCCAAGGGTAGGCATCATCCCCAGGGGCTGGGAGCACAGTGGAGCACGGACGCCGTGGGACGTCACGTGAGCAGGAAAGACTCTCAGGCTCCCTCCACTGCTCCCTCCAGATGAGCACACATCATCCCGGGCAGCTACTGCCTCCCACCCACCCACACTTCTCCATCTCGCCTCTTATCCTTTGTCTCTGTCCCTCCTTGTTTCCCTGCCCCCCACCCCCACTGGTGTGTCCGGGGATCACCTTCCCCTGGCACCTGTTGTAGTTCGTGCTCTTTTCGAGGTTGGAGTCTATGGCCTCCACATAAATCCCTCCTCTCGCTCCCTGAGGGGCTCCTGTCCAGAAACCCCTCCCTCCCACTGCCGGTACTCCCCCCATACCCCATTGGTGCTTCTTCCCCCTACATAGGAGATGATTTAAGCAGCTTTGCCTGGAGGAGGCGAGGCCACGTGTGGGAGGGACAGGGTGTGATGGCAGAGAGGAGGACCAGAGGGAGGAGCTTGTGCCCAAGCAGGTGAATGTAAGGGCAGGACCTGAGCCTGGTAGCTCCTGGGAGAGCCGGGCCGGGAAGGTGCCCAGGCACCTGCACCATGTCGCTGCGACGGGCAGGGGCTCTGCCCTGGGTACTGCTGCTGCTTCTCCCAAACTTGAAGCTCCTGAGGACCCAGGCCTGGTGTTCTGAAAAGGAAAAGGACAATAATCAAAAAAGCAGAGCTCCTGAGTTCCCCGCCACAGTGGAGTTCGCCTTGCACACGTTCAACCAGCAGAGCCAGGACGACTATGCCTACAGGCTCGTGAGCATCCTGAGTTCCTGGAGGGAGTATTCCCGGTACAAGCAGGTTGGTGGCCACAAGCTCTCCTGGCCTGACCTCCTTCACTTGCTCCTATGTGAGAGATGGGGGAGTCTCTTGTCAAGGATTCCTGGTTGACCGTTTGCCGTCCATACTTTAGTAACATATAACCTAGCGCAGTTTCAGAGTTTTTATAAAATATTTAACTTAGACATTCTTTTAAATTGGGTAAATGTCTACTCAATAGTAGACATATTATTCCATCTCCAACACATTTATGACATAATTTAACTGAAGAATGACTTCAAAATAAGGACTACTAAAGAGATGAAGCTTCCAAATAAGGAAAAAAGAAAATGACCATATAGATAAACTGAGAAATATTTAAAGGACATAAAAATAGAAAAACAGAAACAAACACACACACACACACACACACACACACACACACACGCACACGCACACACACACAGAAACCAAGGGTTCAGGAGCAACGAGGAGCCGTCGTCCTGAGCCCGCTGTCTGGTCGATTCCTCTTCTCTGATTCCGCCTGCTCTGGGCTCCGTGGCGTGTCTGCACTTTGTGACGTGAACGTGGGTCACACTCTTCCTTAGACCACTGCTCTGAGTCCTGGATGTTCTCCTTGGGGTGGAGTCCCTCCAGAGCGCAGTGAGGAACGCACAGGCCACCGGGCTGCAGGCAGCACAGGAAATGCTCTCCGAAGGGAGGACTTCTGGTTTGGGGGGACAGGGGGGGACATTGCTCTTCCTGCCAGGGCACAGAGATCCTGAAAGAAGGAGGCAGGGGCCCCACCCCGCACAGAGCTTCAGCCTCTGTGGAAACCCTGCAGCGCCCTGGCAGGCTCTGCTGCCCCGGGCTCTCTGGGCTGGAGCCTCCCACGTGGGCTCCTGCGCCTGGCAGTCCCAGAGTCAGTGTGGGGGTTGGGGGACTGGATGGACGGGAGGGAGGTGTGGAATGGGGTGGAATAGGATGGAGCGGGAAGGAGAGCAGCGAGAAATTCGAGTACACTAGCACTCGGGCAGACGTTGTTTCTTGGAGCCCTGGCTCTGATGCCGTGTGCTGTGTGCAGTGGGAGCACTGGGTGGCGTTGTTCCTGCTGGAGGTCCAGGGAGAGGTTGACAACACGCTGTAGATGAGGCTCCCTCTCTGGGGGCTGAGATCATCCTGAAAACTCTTGCAGAACCAACAGCCTCCCAGGCACCTGGCGTCTGTCCTCTGTGAAGGCAGCTGTGGGTGCAGAAGCCCCCTGAGAGCAGAGCCGGGTCTCACTGTGGTAGAGTGGGGGTGTGGGCTGCAGCTGGGGGATGCAGTAATGGGGGTGACTCAGTGTGTGTCTCCCCAGGGATCCACCATGACCTCCTGCTCTTTGCTCTTAACTCCCCAATTTAGAGAAAGTCCCCAGGGTTTCACTTTCAGTGAGCTGATGCCAGGCCCCTGGCGAGCTTCCAAATGGAGCTGTGTGTTATTGCCTCTCCCGACACTGATGGCATCCTCACTACCAGCTATTTAGGGGCAGCAAGAAGGAAGTGTCCACTTTAATCTCTTTATGTACAGCAGGACGATCCCAAGATGGTGTTCTCCATGAAACTGCAACTGCGCAGAACATGGTGTGGAAAATTTGAGGAAGACGTTGACAACTGCCCGTTTCAAGAAAGCCCAAAACTGAACAGTGTAAGACCAGACACCAATTTCCTGCGTTTAAGCAGCTGTGGAGGCTGCATCGGAGTGGGGGACGGGGGTAGGAAGCAGCTGACAAAACCTTTCCTAGGGATGTACAGGAGGGAGCCTGCAGCAGGCTCCAGCAGGCTTCCCTGCCTGTGCCTTAGTGGGGTGGCAGCCCAGACATCCACTTGCAGTTTCTGGCCAGTCTGAGCTTCTCAACTCTGCCCCCTCACACCATTGCAGCTGCCTGCACCCAGATCACAGGGCCTTCAGAATGCTCTTGTGCCCCTGGGGTCTCGATCTCCTGGGCCCAAGGAAAGTGTCCCCGCTCTGGACGTCATGCCCACCTCTCACCTGCCTGTAGGAAAAGGAGCCTGCTGGAGCCCCCCTGAGCTGCAGCACCTGCTGCAGGGGAGGAGCTCGACATGAAGCCAGCTCTGCGGACAGCCCCTCCTATGTTTAGTGGATCTGCTTTTTGTAAGATTAGCAAACAGGTTAGCTAATTGCTTAACTGAGAGCTTTAAATCCAAGAGCTGCTCTCGCTGCTACTCTTGGGGGCATGGATCACACCAGGACAGCTGGGCTTCCCCAGGAGGCCACTGGTTAGAGGGAAGAACCTGGCACAGCTGACTCTGGGTCAGGTGGGGGCCCCAGATTTGGACACCGTTCAGGATCCTCCCAGAACTTAGGCCAGGTGGCCAGACCTGAAGGCCAGAGCCACTTCTCTCAATTGCTGTCCCTGGGAATGAGCAAGGTTGAGAAGGACCCTGAGTTCAGAGCATGAGCCACAAGCTTCCCAAGGCTGCTGCACCCAGAGACTTGCCTGTGCTTGTTCCCCCAGACCCTCATCTGCCTCTTCACCGTCAGCACCAGGCCCTGGATGTCACTGTTTGAGCTCCTGAACCAGACCTGCTCAGAGGAGCTCCCCTGAGTGGGACGTAGTCACAAGCCTGGCCACGTGCTGCTCTCTCCTTCCGTGGATGCCAGCCATTCACAGGAGTTGACACTTCAGTAGCTGAGCATCTTCCATGCTTGTTTGTTCTCCTGTTTTGTACTTGTCCGAGGTTTCGTGGCTTGGCATTTTAGAAATTATTTTGTCCAGGCCCATCATGTAGAATAGGTCATTAAACACCAGCATTTCAGAAGCTTTGTGTGTTGTGGTTCTGGAGGGAGGGGCCTGGCCAGATGGTGCAGTTATTCTCAGCAGAGCAGCCTGGTGGGATCGGGCTTGGTGGGGACCTTCCACCCTCTTGTACCTTCCAGGTGGCACAACTACGATGCACCTGAGCTGCTGTCTCCAGGCTCATGGCCAGTGTCCCATGTGGCCAGAGGTAAAGTGGCTGTGACCCCTCAGGGCACCCGATGTGCACAATGGAACAAGACAGGGCCTTGAGGTCTTCATAGCACACATGGCCTCTGCTCTTGAGGGGCTGGCTCACACACTTGCTTGGTCCATAGCAGGTCGGTGGATGAAGAAAAGACTTCTAGCCTGACACACAGAGTTGTCCTGGCACCCAGAGCAGTATTAGCATCTTCTGGAACGATTTTAGAAAAGTAAAACCCTAGTGTTTCCCCGCCTTTGGTAAGAGTCTGCATTTTCACAAATCCCAGGGGATGCCTGGAGAATTAAAGCACAAGACACATTGGAATACCAGATGCTGGCAAGACTGTGCCCAAGTCACCTAAAACAGTGCTTGGCAAAAATTTTCTGAAAAAGCCAGAGAATAATTATTCTGGCCTTGGTGGGTAGATGGTCTCTTTTTCAAGTGCTTGATATTGCTTTTGTATCTTGAAAGTAGCCATAGACAATGTAAACATAGAAGAGTCTCTGTGGTCCAGTAAGACTTTATTTACACAAGCGGGCAGTGGGCTGGTTTGGGCCTTGGGCGGTAGTTACTCAACTCTGACACTAACAGCTCATATGGCGCACCTGTACCTGGTGCCCCCAAGAACCACCAGTGCCAGCTCCCACTTCAAGCACCTGCATCTCCCCAGCTTGGCTCAGGAGTTACTCTGTGCAAATGGACTTTCTTTAGCAGAGCGTGTTCTTCCTGCAGGTGTAGGAGAGGCCAAGTCTGAAGGCACAATCCATCATCAGAAAGAAGCAGGCATATGTTCCAATATTTCAAGCCTCAGGGCACCTGATTCAAAGGCAAATTTCCACATCAGTTCTCAGAGTTTCCCCAGCAGGATAAATGGCCACTGGCCACCCATAGGCCTCTAGAAAGAGACCTCCACACCCTCTAGCTAAAGAAGAAATAACATACTCTTTCCAGACTGAGATTTAAGCTCCTTCTCCACGAAGATGCCTTCTGAATTTATCTGCAGCTACTTGTAAACTTCAGAGGGATTAGAATCCCCTAAAAGTATGTTAAAACCCAAATTCTTAATCTCCCCATTCCCTAGGAATCTGATCTAGTAGGTGTGGGCAGACACAGGGAATTTGCATTTCTTACCAGTTTTCAGGGGATGGTGATATTCTTGATCCCTGCACCACACTTTGCACTGCCCAGCTTCAGAATACAGCCCTGGAGTTGGATACGGTTGGATACAAGTGAGAAATAACTCAACTTGTAGGTCATCAGGATGGGGGCTTGAGAATGGTTTCCTCGATACACACCAGATTAGGAAAAAGGTCAAAACATCAGTGCTAATTGTAAAGAAAAAGGAGGGTTTCTAGACCCGAAGCATCAGCCTCCAGGACTGGAGAAGACAGAGGCCACTTTGGGCCCGAGAACCTGACCCTGTGCACAGTGGCCCCTCAGGGCTGGGGCTGCCAGGGAGCTGCAGCTCTAAGACTCATTCTTATATTTAATCAATGCCTAAGAATTAACCATTGAAATTTTCTAATTTTCGCTACTATGAAGTGTGGTGTGATGAATATATCCTTTATATCTACTGGTATGTGTATATGATTACTGCTTTCTTGTAGGCAATCTGCTCAGAAGTTAGATTGTTTCCAATATTTTTTGACCTCTAAAGAATTTTTAATAAATATTGTTGAAATGTCTGTCCTCTGTTAGAGCAAATAAGAAGGAGGCTGTTAGCATTAGGTTGCCTCTGAACCTGGAGCTCTTCCATAAGCAAAGCGAAACTTAACTTGGAAGCATTTCTTATGGCTGACTTAAAAATTAAAATCTAGCCTCAATCAATCACAAACAGCCAGCCAATTTGTTGTATAACTAGGGGCCTCCGATCACAGCATACCTAAATAAGGCAAACACCTAGGACCAGGGACATTGCATATGCTGAGGCTCCTAAAAGATGAAATGCATAAAAACTATTGCTCTAGAAGTCTCTTTCCAAAAAGAAAATTAAAAATCTTAAAGTTTTTTTCCACAAATATTAGTAAAAAGCTTTAGCCAACTGGGCAAATAACCTTGTTCTATCAGTCATAAACAAAATTTGTATTAAGATATTCTTTTATAAACTCATGAGCTTTTTATTATTGTACCTGGAATATGGCTAAAATTTCAGAGTGAAAGATATAAAATATGCTTCTGTCTGTATATTTCTGTAGGTCTGTATGTTACATGTGATATTCTTCTATCTCTGGATGATACTGATAAAACTAGTATATTAAAAAAGCTCTATTTAATTGGCTTAAAGAAAAATAAGCACTTACGTGAAATAAGTATTCCTTAAACTCACGGAAAGATAGGAACTACTATAAAATATTTTTCAAGTTCGTGTGATCTGGAATAATATTTCAGTAAATAAAAGCTAATTTAAGTTTGATGGTTAAATTAAAACGGGTATTTCTTCAGAGTTGTCAGCATTAAATATAATACGGACATGCAAACTTTCATTCTACCTAGATTTACTAGTCAAGTAAGCTCATGTTATCTCTATTAAATGTTTACAATTATAAAAATATGAGTTCAACCTAAGAACAAATGACAAGTGAAAGTAAAGTGTCCATTACTTCATGTATAGCAAGCATAGCAGTGATACAAAAACCCCTCACAAACATATATTTAACTTTTTAGGAGTTTAGCTTTTGTGATGCTTGCTTAACATGCACATTCTTTAAAAATAACTCACGAGAAAATAACTTGATGATGGCTAGACTTGTTTGGTGTTATAATATATCTATACAAAAATAGCTTCCCAAATCTCCTGCATTTGTTACCCCTTGGAGTTTTGCTATTGAATTTAAATAATGCCTATTCATTGAATATATAGATCATTTACAAATAAAATATGAAACAATTGGCAAACATAAATTTTTCCACTTTTGGCTTCTTATTACAAAAAATTAAAAATATTTTGTCTTTTAGTGAACATGTCTTACAGCACTTTGAAAAATTGTACTATGAGGAGGCAGATGCTTTTAGAAGTTATAAAATGATGTTAAGTTACAGAATACTGGTATGAGATAGGCAGTTCACAATTGCTTACTTCCTAGTTTTCACTAGAAATTAAAATTATTAAGAGTTAAAAATTATAATGTGGTAATTAATGCTTGAATAATAAGGGAAACAACTGTATGTGAGAAAAATGAGATAAATTTTTGGTAAGCGAAGCTATGAAGTATGAAGGATGTGTTTTTGTTAAAGAAAAAACAGTAATTTTCATCCTAAAGCAGAATAATTTGAGGTTTCACAGTGGGAAAGAAGAAGCATGTAGGATAAAACTGAACTGATATAAAAGAAGTTGTAAAGATTTGTGGAAGAGGAATCTTGAAAATTGAATTTTATGTTTGATGTAACCAAAATGTTTGTATCCCCATAAAATTCTAATTTTTTTTTTTTTTTTGAATCAGAGTCTTACTCTGTTGCCCTGGCTAGAGTGCTGTGGCATCAGCCTAGCTCACAGCAACCTCAAACTCCTGGGCTTGAGCGATCCTCCTGCCTCAGCCTCCCAAGTAGCTGGGACTACAGGCATGCGCCACCATGCCTGGCTAATTTTTTCTATATATTTTTAGTTGTCCAGCTAATTTCTTTCTATTTTTTAAGTAGAGACGGGGTCTTGCTCTTGCTCAGGCTGGTCTCAAACTCCTGAGCTCAAATGATCCGCCCGCCTTGGCCTCCCAGAGTGCTAGGATTACAGGCATGGGCCACTGCACCAGCTTTTTTTTTTTTTTGAGACAGAGTCTGGCTCTGTTGCCTGGGCTAGAGTGCTGTGTGTCAGCCTAGCTCACAGCAACCTCAAACTCCTGGGCTCAAGTGATCCTCCTGCCTCAACCTCCTGAGTAGCTGGGACCACAGGTGTGAGCCACTGGGCCTGGCTAATTTTTTCTATTCTTAGCAGAGACGGGGTCTTGCTCTTGCTCAGACTGGTCTCAAGCTCCTGACCTCAAATGATCCTCCTGCCTCGGCTTCCCAGAGTGCTAGGATTATAAGCGTGGGCCATAGCACCCGGTCAATATTCTAAAATTTAAAAATAAATTAAAAAGAAAGAATTTTATGTGTGATCAATCTAGCTAAGATTTGAAGAGAATTATTTACAATTTTGTTTAATTGAGTGTTAATATCAAAAGCATCCTGGTGTAAAACTAGAATTTGGTCTTCTCTGTTAAAATAACAAGGATTTTGTAGATGATTGGACTGCTCTTCATAAGAAATTCTGAAAGATATGTATTTTTTTTTAATTTTTAAGAATTCTGCCTAGGAAACAAAGATTTTATGTCTTATCAAAACAATTTCCTGTGATTCATGTTGTCTTCTGCCAAGTCTTTGACTACTGAAGAAAATTGAAACCTCTCTATTAAAAGAGCTAAGGGTTTTCCTACAGCTATGTAACTTTTTTATTTACCTTTAAAATATTTTAATTGTCTCCTTGAATAACAATATTGTGTCCGCCAGGCGTGGTGGCTCACGCCTATAATCCTAGCACTCTGGGAGGCCGAGGCGGGCGAATCATTTGAGCTCCGGAGTTTGAGACCAGCCTGAGCAAGAGCGAGACCCCATCTCTACTAAAAATAGAAAG